ACAAACTAATATAATATATTATATACGCAATATATATATAATATAAATTTACCTTAAAATACAGCCAAACGTTGTTTTGGTGTTATTGATAACCTCCAAAAAGTGTCTTGTTTTTTCAACCTCTCTTCTAGCTCCATCAAAAGATCGTAAAATGTTGTTTGATTCATTCTAAAATACTCATAAAACTTTGTTTCATCATCCATTAGATGAGGTAACAACGTGAAAAATTCCCCCTCAATGGTTCTTGACTTCCATGCATTGTGTATCCACATTTTTTTCTTTCTTTTATGTTCACTTCTCCATTTCTCGTCTTCTTCTTCTAACGCAAGCGCTATAATTGCTAACTCACTGTTTTTAAAACTTTTAAACATAGTTCTCGCGTCCTCCCTTGGCAAAATACTGAAACAAACTGAAACAGCTGAAGCTAGTATGAAAACGGCATGGGCGGCACGGACGAGCTACGGACAAGGTACGGACAAGTGTGTGTTCGTGAACGACGAACCGTGCATCGATCAACACTCGGCCGACACACGGTGCGGGTACGTTGCGGGCATGTGTGTCCAGACCTTAAGACGTACAACGGTCGGCGGAAAAGGCGATTCGAGATCTACCATCGGACCTTCGGACCGATAACATATCGTCCGACGTTAAACTCATCTGCCCGAGCGGCACGTCATGTATTATTATATTTTGGTGGCAATATTATAATACATAATTTGTGACATTCTTAAAGTGTTTGTGTTGTGTTTTTTTCATCACCTCAATCCTAACCAAACACTTCGACCGGACCACGATCAACCTTGAAGCAATCATCGTGTCCCCGTCATCTTGTATATATTTGGTTCGCCACAATACAATGTCGTCCCGTTCAATAAGTGCGCTATTATGGCCTCTTTTACAATACCTAAAATTTAGCTCACGTAATAAATGGTATATGTTGGTTTTTTTGTATGTGTTTAGTGTTGGGTCACTTTTCATGGAAATTAAAATCTTGTCCAGTGTGGGTACCTGACGGCTAAACCAAAAATCGTGTACCTTTTTACGTATAGCATTCCGTTCGAAATCGTCGCCTTTTTTTTGAATGTCAGCCTGATCTTCTTTTTGTTCGGTGATTGTAATGGTTTTGCATTCTTATAGTCGGCAATTGTCCTTTGTATCGTATTCTGGCCGGGGGTTTCCGTTTTCCGCCAAAATGACCCTCGGCCGTTATCACCATGGCCGTTTTCCGCCAAAACAAATTGATAAATTTTTTTTGAGAACCCCTGAACTGAATCCATCAAAATCAAATAGTGTTGATTCGATGTACGCGCTATTATTATAGCGATATCGGCGGATAATTCACGGATTATTGTTCGCTATCAGTCTGCACCTGTCAGTTGAAACCGCGTTCTATAAAAAAGTTTCTATAATGTCGGAGAATATACCCAATATTGAAGTGATAACCAGTAACCGCGGTAATATTATGCTAATATACAACAATTTTAAATTTATACATGCGTATACATCTAAAGACGGCATTACTCGGTGGAGGTGCTACGAGAAAAAATGTACTGTTAAAATTTTTACAAAAACGAATTACGTACTAGTCAAGGTTGAAGGAAGTCATGCAGCAGATCATAGTGCTATCGATAGATGTCTAATTGACAAACAAATTATCAATTCAGCCTGTAAGCGTAAAGCGGTAGAAGATGTAAGTATGAGGCCCAAAAAAATAATTTTACGGGAAATTGGACAAAGCGTATGTACTAATATTTCAGTTAAAGACGTAGATCGTGTACGAAAAAATATGTATGAAAGCCGACGAAAAATTCTTCCGGCTAATCCAACTTCTATACAATCTATGCACGACTCTTTACGAGATATGAACATTTTGACAATGCAAGGTGAACCGTTCTTATTATTAAACGATGATTCTAAAAATGTTTTGATTTTTTCATGTGCAAAAAATTTAAAATTCTTATGTGATGTCCAAACTATATACATGGATGGCACTTTCCAATACAGTGCTAGATTTTTTACTCAAATGTATACAATTCATGGGTACAAAAATGGGCATTATGTACCACTTGTATTTTGTTTGCTGCCTGACAAAAAAACAGAAACTTACATTTATATGTTGCAAAAAATATCAGAATTGTGTGATAATATGGGTCGTCTTTTTTTACCAACTAATATAACTAGTGATTTTGAAAAAGCTATACTAAATGCAATTTATGAAGTTTGGCCTGGGATGAATGTAGTTGGTTGTCGATTTCACTTGACTCAAGCATGGTATCGACAAATTCAATCTCTAGGGCTAATTACCGAGTATAAAAATAAGTGTAATATTGGTATGTGGTTAAGGTATACCTTTGGTTTATTATTTTTAAATCCAAGTGAAGTAATGAGTTGTTTTATGGAAGATTTTATGCCACAGTGCCCATCTGATAATCGCGTTTTAGCGTATTCACAATATTTATTGAACAATTACATTTTAAATACAAGTACGTTCCCCCCTAAGTTATGGGCAGAAGCAACTTCTGCATTAACAAGAACCACAAATGCATGTGAATCGTTTCATTCCGACTTTGATTAATGAAGTACAAACCAGTGTATATTGTAAAATGTCAAGTGTGAATCAACCGAAAACTCCACGAAAAATAATTCATTTGAGACAAAAAAAAAATGAAGAATACATTCAAAAATACATTCATGGGCATTTAACTAGGTTCGAGTTTGTCAAAAAAATCTCTTTTTCGTATAGTAAATAATGAATATTGTGAATGAAATGTGTACTTAATGAATATTGTGAATGAAATGTGTACTTTTTATATAATTTTAATTTTTATAATAATTTATTATTTGGACGACAGACATGTGAAATTACTAAAAATATATTTTTTTTTTTTATAGTATACCTAAATATTGAATGTGTACTTTTTATATAATTTTAATTTTTATAATAATTTATTATTTGGACGAAAATCTAGTGATGTTTAACATGTGATATTTATACTTATACTGTTTTTACGTACAATTCGTATATAATAGCGTATGCTTTGGAAAATACAGTGGGTACCTATACTTAAACAGGTGAATAATAATAGTAAGATAAAATATAGATAATAGTTTGTAATCAATATCTGTGTGGGGTGAAGCGCGTGTGTGATACAAGGTGAGGCGCGTACATCGAGTTATTACTAATTGATGGATCAGTTCAGGGGTTCTCAAAAAAAATTTATCAATTTGTTTTGGCGGAAATCGGAATATAACCTTTGGCGGAAAACGGCCATGGTGATAACGGGCTTGGGTCAATTTGGCGGAAAACGGTTACGCCCTTCTGGCCAATACCCGTATCCCTGGATAGCAATTTCACCATTTCCTTAACCGTAATAGATGGTTGTTTGGCAATTTTGCGTTTGTATAAGTTTACTATCATTTGTTTTTGTCCACTTCCAATGAACTGAAATTAAAATAATAAACAAATACTTCAGTTTGATTTTTAATTTTGTATATTAGACAATCAAGGTTGTTATGTTTAACTGCAGACTTGGGTAGAATTCCGAATACAGTATTCGGAATACTTTTTAAATACTTTTTTTGAAAGTATTCAATACGGTATTTTGAATACTTTTTACGAGTAATCGGAGTACAGTATTCGGAATACTTATTTTTTTTTATATAGGTATAATCTAATATATTACTGATTATTACTTATTAGTTATTAACTATATTAATTTGAATATAATTTATAACTAATAGATAGCCAGATAGGTGTGTATTATCGAGATTACAATAATGTTCATTTATAAAGAAAGATTTTAAAAAAAAAATATATTTTTGATATTGAAATCTAAATCTACTAAAAAAAATATTCGAAAAATATTTGGAATACTTTTTGTGAAGTATTCCAAATACTTAGGAATATTATTATCATAAAGTATTCGAATACATACTCTGAATACTTTTTTGTAAGTATTCGGAAAATGTATTTGAAATACTTTTAAAAAGTATTTTACCCAAGTCTTAAAGATTAAGACACGTTTTGTTTTATCAATACAAACCGTGTGTACAATCAATAACGATCAACACTTACTTTCCCGCATGGTTTTTTTTAACTGGTGTATGAGGAGAACCAGCATTAGATGTGGATGGTGCATCAGTGTCACTCATTGCAAAAAATTCAAAATAAAGCGCTGTTAAAAATCGTTTCTATAAACACGTGATACGGTCAACGGTTGAGAAACGAGTCATCGAGCTACGAGGTACGAGCTATCAGGCACGGTGGCGGCGTTTTGTACACACTCACACGGCTGTTTTCGCTAGAGGCGCCACCTCCGAAGCCGGACCGACGCACGATGACACCCGATTACTGTGTTCGTCGAAGAGTGGGAATGCTATGGGTGGGTGACGCGAGAGGATGCGCAGAACGAACCGATTTTCGTCGGGCCGCGGCATAATCTCTCGCTGATATTGGAGGTATCGGTGCAGGTATTGGAATATACGATCCATCAATAACACCTATTATATTATTTAAACCGGTCTTTGACATCTTACCAAAATTAAGTTGAATTTGATTAATTTGTTCAATTTCGGGTCAATTAATAATTGTAGGGGATAATCTATGTAAAACAGTAGTGACCAAACTATCATGCAGAGAACTTTTACCAACATCAAATCTGTCAGAAACTGATCTAAAAATTAAATACAAATTTTATTTTATTACACGTAAAAATATGGAGGATATTGTCATTATATCAAAAAATAAATAGATAATTATACAGGACTAAATAATACTATGACATCTTCTAGTAGGATAAACTGTCTAATTTTATTAGGTATTTAATTCTTTACACAAACCGAAAACTATATGGTGTAGCCAATAACCAAATAACTGACAATAGTTGTTACCTCTCATCTGAACCTTTGCGTCCTTCTACACAAGTTTTCTTTAGAAGGGAAGCACACATTTGTAAACATCTTTCAAATGAGGTTGGTGACAACCTAAAGTGCCGTTGAAATTATTTATGTGTGAAATTTGGTATTGTCTGAGAGATAAAATCTTGCACTCTAAAAGGTTTTACTCTATTGCCCCGTAAACGGTTAATAAATGCATAATCGAATTCATCATCTGAACTATCAATGTCAATCTATAAACAAATTGTAAAATAAACTACTAATTAACAAAATTGTATTACAAATGTATCTTATTATAAATGTTTATCTTACAAGAACAAATTTTCTTTTTAACTTATTATTTAATGTTTTCCCCATTGAATCTATCATCATAAACAGTTCTGTACTCTCGTGACTCATCTTGCAATACCTAATTGAATGTTATGTATAATTGGTAGACAAACAATAGGACAGGTAGTAATTAATTAGTTTAGTATAATTAATGTTTCCGACTCCAAAGTGTATATTTAAATTTAAATTGATTTTCTTATTTTTAAATATTTTATAAATTGATATGATATAGCTTATCATTTATCAGTACGTTAAGATTGATAACAATATATCGTTCGGTTATTCGGAGTAATATGGTTTAGAGTACAGCTGATAAACTCTACCAGGGGTACGAAACTCCGTGCTTTGGCCTAACCAGGCGATTGCGGCCTTGAACACGGTCTTCAGGAGGGCGTGGAATACGTGAAATAGGGAATGGTAAAAAAGCCGACCCCGCGTCCCGTATCCCGCCTTAGTCTTGGAACCGATTTCATAATATTGGTAACCACAGGTCTAACATCATGTTGGTGCGGGAACCAATTCCATGTTTTTCGTAGGTTCAGACTTCAGATCATAGGTAACCAATACCCCAATCAGCTGATTGAGTTTCGTTTCTATATTGTTATGTGACTCTACTCTACTCCAAGGTTTAAGATAGACTGGTCGAACGAAAAAAAGTGGCATGAGAAAGCGCTTACAAAAACTTACTGGCACATAACGCAATCTAGCGGTTATATTCATAATCTATAGTATATTATTGTTTTAATAATAATTCCTTTCTGGACGGGATACGCTCCACGGTTTTTTTATTTCACAAAATCACTTTTTAATTTTTATTTATCAAATAAACCTTGATTAGTTGATTATTATTTAGATTAAACAGTCCTAATGACTAGTTGAATGTTGAATGACATAATTTAAACAGTATTAAATGATTGAGTTGTAGATTTAATATTTAACACAGTGTATAATATACTATATTATATTTAAATTTAAATTTTTAAAATGTCTAATCATAACTATTGTTGTATTCGTAAACCAATACGTCATTTGGTGTTCCAAAAATTGAAAGCGAGTGTAGTAAATGGGAAGAAAGTTTAGGGATGACATTAAAAAAATCTCATCGTATTTGCCTACAACATTTTAAAAGAACTGATGTCATAAGTAATTGGGAAAGCGGCAAGGGAATCAACAAATATTTAGTAAAATATCTAATGTACAGTAATGAATAGTTTTAAACTAAATTATATTGACCAAATCATAGTTACTGTAGAATAATAATATTAACTATAAAATATAAAAATATTTTAATCTTCTTAGATTTGCTTAAAACGATACAGACTTAGGAATGGAGCTCTACCATTTATTGAAAATGTCAATGAGGTTTTGAATGAAACAGTCTGTGAAACAACTGAAAATATAAATAATGTGAGCCTTAAACAATAATGAAATATTTAGAAATTTAGTACACAAATTATGGTAAATATCAAAGATATTATATCAATAAACGTCTGTCAAAAAGAAATTACTTATAATTCAAATAACATTCAACATCCCATCACCGTTCTTTTATGGAATGCAAATGGTCTAATTCATCAAAAAAATTAACTTAAAGCCCTTCTATACACCTTGAACTTAGACTTAATCCTAATCAGCGAAGCTCACCTAACACCTAATACTTCCTTCACAATACCTGGTTATCAAACATATCACTGTGATCATACGGACAAAACCGCTCACGGACGCTCTGCCATTCTTATAAAATCAGATATAAAACATTTTATATTACCCTCTTTCCAAAGTATCTCCATACAAGCAACCAATATAGCTATACAAATAAACCATATACCAACTACCATATCATCGGTATACTACCCACCATCTTCCAAACTAACCAATCACGATTTTACAAATTATTTATCCTCCTTAGGAAACACTTTTTTAATAGGTGGCGATTTTAACTCCAAACACACTGCCTGGGGCTCCAGAATTATCAATACTAGAGGCAGAATCCTCTACAACATTTATGTAAACAAAAGTCTTAAATTTATTTCACCTCCAAATCCAACATATTTGCCAACGCATCAAAATCGATTGCCTGACACATTAGACTTCTTCTTAACCAATTTACCAAATCACATAAATTATTCAATATCTAACTCAACTGATCTATCATTGGATCACACCCCTGTACTATTATGCCTAAACGACCATTATGTGGACAAAACTACATACCCGACTATTACTCCAGGAAAAACAAATTGGAATATATTCAGTAAAACTGTCGAAGCCCAAATACAACTTAATGTGTCCTTAAAAGATCACTCTGAAATAGATGCAGCTATTCACTCCCTTACAAACATCATTCAAAACTCCGCCCTTAGTTCCTCTCCTCCTACTCACTTAAACAATAAATACGGGAACCTACCACAATACTTACGCAACTTAATAACGGAGAAACGTCGAGCTCGTTCCAAATGGCAAAGAACTCATCACCCGAGCGATAAAATTACATACAACTAACTTACTTGTAATCTGAAGAATCTTCTAAGGAAACATAATTCAAACTCTTATCAAAACTACATTAAATCAATTACAAACTCAGACAAATCTTTATGGAAGGCAACCAAAAATCTTCTTAAGGAAAAAAAACATTGTTCCTCCTCTACGTAACCCTGATAACTCATTTGCTATATCTAATATAGATAAAGCCAATCTTTTTGCTACGCATCTTGCAAATTACAAACTCGAGTTTTAGGGTCTAATAATGATGCAGCTAAATGTAAAGGTTTAATAGTATTCAAATGTCTTTCTTTAAATTTATTTACTATTATTTTCTCTTCTTTAATAGACATAAGTGAACCTGAGAAGGAATCACAAAAAGTATTTTTAATTTCATAAAATGCATCAAATACATGGTTAATTGTAATGCTGTCGCCTTCTAAAATTGTTATCCAATTTACTATAGGGTTCTTTATATCAATAAGCTTATCAACTTTAGCCCAAAATACAGCATCATCTAAAATCAATTTTTTTCGTTTCGATCCTAACATAGTAGAGCCAACTGCATGAACAGCTAATGTTTGTAATGACAATTTACATACTTTCATGGAAGTTAAACAAAATAAATTTGAGCCCCATCTAGTTTTGACTCGGAGATTAAGCGTTTTGCTGCAAAGATTAATTTTTCTTATCGAATCAAAATGAGCATTTAAAATTTGACTTTTCTTAATTGTCTTAAGAGGACGTGTCACCCAAAAAAATCACTCGAAAAATTCCTTTAAAAACATGTTTGCGCGTTCCAATTATATGGGTTACTGAGTGGTTTTATCATAAAAACACCTATGAACAAAATTGTAGAGGAGAATTTTATCTGGTTCCGTAAGAAGCCCGATTTTTGAAATTTTCATTTCTAAGTCCTAAAATTAACTTCCGGAAAATGAAAAAAAAGTGTATTATTAATCATGATATATTTCATGATGTTTTAAAGATATCAAAAATTGGGCTTCTTACGGAACCAGATAAAATTCTCCTCTACAATTTTGTTCATAGGTGTTTTTACGATTAAACCACTCAGTAACCCATATTATTGGAACGCGCAAAGTATGTTTTATAAGAAAACTGCAGAAAATTACGCTCGGCAAGTGCTGCGCCCGTAGTCAGTGGCAGCGTTCGATACTAGCTGTGCATACCACCACCCCGCGCGCATTAACGGCGGTACCGCACCATGGTCAAAACAGGTTCTCTATCGCAGCCGACCGCCCGTGCATAGTTTATAAATAACCAGATAAGAAAATGATTATTATATTTGTGACAAATAATATTTAATTTGGTTCGATTTTATATTTTGTATTCGTATCCGAATTTTATACAAATAAAAACTATACTTTTGTTCTTCAAGTAGGTAATAGTGTAATACGGCTTATTGAAGCGGTTTACAATAAAAATAACCTATTATAAAAATTGTAGAGGAGAATTTTTTTAACAATCGTAAGGAATCCGATTTTTGATATCGTATTCCAATCGTCCAATATCGCATGATAAATTAACAATTTTTTTTTTTTTACTTTTTATCGATTAATTATTTAACTCATTAATAAAAATATAAAAAATCGGGCTTATTTCGATTATTAAAAAAATTCTTCTCTCCAACTTTTATTATAGGTATTTTTACTGTAAACTGCTTCAATAAGCCGTATTACTTGAATTACGAAACCATATTTTGTTCACTAGGCCAAACTCTTCTTATCCGAATTTTATACAAATAAAAACTACTTTTGTTCTTCAATTAATACGGCTTATTGAAGAGGTTTACAGTAAAAATACCTATTATAAAAGTGGTAGAGGAGAATTTTTTTAACAATCGTAATAAATCCGATTTTTGATATCGTATTCCAATCGTCCAATATCGCATGGTAAATTAACATTTTTTTTTTTTTACTTTTTATCGATTAATTATTTAACTTATTAATAAAAATATAAAAAATCGAGCTTATTTCAATTGTTGAAAAAATTCTTCTCTAAAACTTTTATAATAGGTAGTTTTGCTGTAAACTATTTAAATAGGCCGTATTACTTGAATTATCGAACAATTTGGGTATGATAAAAAAAAGAAATAGGTAGGTACTCAAAAAACCATTTATAACAATTAACAGAAATCATTCAATGTAGACAATCTAAGCCACAAACAGGTAAAGTGGTACATATTATAAATTGAATATAATTTGCGAAAGGATATTTTAAATAGTCCATACCATATATTTGGCAAACACCAGTGGCGTATTTACGGGGGGGGTTCCATGGGGTCCGGACCCCTCCCATTGACTCGTGTCTCGTACATATTAAATGTTGTGCAGTTTTTAAATGATTAAAAAACAAATTTTATCATACGATTTTACGGATTGTATAAAAAATTTTCGAAGCTATAGTTATATCAACATTTTCAATAAATATCGTGATTATTTTTATCAGTTGGGTACCGAAAATGGTTGAAAAATACCAAATTCATTTTTTAATTCAAATATTTTGTAGTTTTGTACATTGCCATTATCTACAACCACCCCGAGAGATCTTTTTCAAACTTTTTAAGG